TTCTCACTCAAGGAAAGGAATGGTCATTTGTTTTCCGAGGCTTTCTTATAAAGTCCTGCATGATCTAGTGGTGGTTGGGTTGGCTGTGACACAGTCATTCATCTAGCCCAGGGGTTCTCAAACTGGGGGTCAGGACCCCTCAGGGGGTCGCGAGCTGTCAGCCTCCAACCCAAACCCCGCTTTGCCTCCAGCATTTATAATGGTGTTAAATATATAAAAAAGTGTTTTTAATTTATAAGGGGGGTTGCACTCAGAGGCTTACTGTGTGAAAGGGTGACCAGTACAAAAGTTTGAGAACCACTGATCTAGCCAGTCTCAAAGGCTATGTCTACACGACAGAGTTACGTCTTGCTGATGATCAGAAACCGCTATAATTACATCACTTGTGCATGTTCACCCAACGCTCTTTCTGTCCGTGCAGTGCATCCACAGGTGGTGCTTTAGCATCGACAGTGAGAACAGTGCATTGTGGGTAGCTATCCCACTGTCCAACTCCCCACCTTCTGCAGCTAGGAGTTGTGGGAAGATGGAGTGGATCACAGTGCATCATAGGTGCGGGCTCAACATCTCATGATGCAGTTTTTTCTGTCCCATCGTTCCATGGGCTTCCGACGATGTTTCATGCCATTTTTCAATGGCCCTTGTTTATTGTGTGCCCGCCATCTCTGCCTGAAAGGATGGATCCTGTACTGCTCTCTACTCTTGTGGTCAGCGTTATGAACACAATGTAGCTAATCATGTAGTATATCATGAGCTCTGAACAGGAATCTATGGTGCCTGCCCTGCTGTGTGCCATGGAAAGAAACAACACCAGTTTTACTTTTGGCATTCTTGGAGCAGCTGCACATGATGGACTGCCACCATTGGGCTCAGGAAATGAGCACTGAGTGGTGGAATCGCATCGTTATGCAGGTCCGACATGATGAGCAGTGGCTGCAGAACTTTTGGATGCGGAAAGCCACCTTTCTGGAACAGTGTGCAGAGCTCTCCCTGGCAGTGCGGTGCAAGGACACCAAAATGAGAGCTGCCCTGGTACACCTGCGTCAGCTCCTTGATCTTCGCACGGCACTGAGGTGTGTCCCGTTTGTAGCCCTTATCCAACATGCCACAAGAAAACTGCCTGTAGGTATTGAAGTTCTTACAGCTGGAGCAAAGGTGGGGCTGCACAGCCTCCTCTCCTCACAGTGCCAGCAGATCCAACAACTCAGGTGTGCTCCAAGCGGGAGAGCGTTTGCTGCGCGGAGTTGCCATGGTCAGCTGGGAAGATGCGATGTGAGCGCTCCACACCGAGCAAACAGGAAGTGCAATTTAAAAAATTCCCAGCCTTTAAAGGGGGAGGAGGGGATACCTGGGTGCAGGGCAGCGGAGTTCGAACCACTCACCAGAGCGGTCAGGGTGGGCATTGTGGGACGACACCTGGAGGCCATTTACAGTGACATAACCAAGCGTGGTGTCTACACTGAAACTTTGTCAGTCTAACTCAGTGGTTCCCAAACTTTAACAACCTGTGAACCCCTTTCACTCAAATGTAAAGTCTCACGAACCCCCTCCTAAAAATAAATATTTCCAGGGATTTTCTCCTTTACCTGAGTATAAATTATAAAAGCATTGATCTTGGAAATATAAAATTTGTTTTTATGACATACTTATTACACACTAATTATTATTTATCATTACAGTATTTTTATTACATTATGAAAATGGCAACACTCTTCCAAGATCTCACTATCATAGCTTGTATCACTTTGAATAAGCCTGTTATAAGACAAGGCTCCTATGTTTCATCAAGGAGTATCAGATGTGAAAAAGCATGAAGGTATTTAAGAAGTCAACTCAAAGAGTTCCTCCTACACAAGCATTCATGTCTTGAGCAGTCCAGGCAAACAACGCACGTTACAACAAAGCTTAAACTTGTTCTTCATAATAATTTAAAAAACAATACAAGCTGCCTATTTAATTTTAAAAACAGCAAAAAATATCCACCTCCCTTTACATTTCTTGTATGGAGTCTTGAAGTTTAAATCTCCTCAGCGTGATAGATATGCTTGCTTTGATCTGCTTAGCTCTTGGAAATCCAGGAGTTCAGTGCTGCTGGCCCCGTGCTGCCCGGGGTCCCCAGGGACAGCTCTGTCTGCCATTAGGTAATTTTTTCCCGAGAACCCGTTTTAACATTTCGCGAACCCCAGTTTGGGAACCACTGATCTAACTTTACCACAAAAAGCTCTACGCCTCTCTTCGAGGTGGTTTTATTTTGTCAGCAAAGCAGGAGAGTTTTGTCGGTGGGAGGAGCATTGTAATGTGTACACCTCTGCTGTTTTGTTAACAAAAGCTGACTTCATTGTAGACAAGGCCATCCACTCCTTTCCTCTCCAAATGATGAGTCACTGACTTTGAAAATACCAGGAATTTTAATTTGCTTCTCAGCTTGCCTGCAGTTCTGATTTCAGTGGAGATAACACAACGTGCCTCCAATAGACATACAACAATGCAAGGTCACTTATATCCTCTCCTATAGCTAGTTTATCCTTGGCAAGCAAACATAGTGATTAGCTAGTTAATGTTTGTTCAGTGCTTTGCAAATGTAAAGCACTAAGTTATAACACTTACAACTACTATCACTTTACTGCAAGGGCTGTTCCCTTTTCTTCCAGTAAACTTAACATAGCTGAGGTTTAACTTCATTGCTTGATGGGTGGCTGTGGGAATCAGACTTTGCCCAACAAAAAGACAGGGCTGATATGCTTAAGAATTTTGCAGACTTACATTTTACTCAGTGAGTTTATTACCTAGTAATTATACTGTACACTTTTAAAAGAACAATTTGTTAGGAACTTTAATGTTAAGACTTTATTTGTATTTTAAAACTTGTATTTACTCTTTAACAAATTATTCCTGGCTAAACTATTTCAGCAGTTAATCAACTTGGTAGACTGTATCTAAACAATCCCAGTAATGAAGCATATCTTCTCAGTGACTCAGCACTAAATATTATAAGTTTTTTTTATTAATGTGATATGTAATACAAACGTAGGAGCAAATGGGCTTTGCTCAGGGGAACCGTGCAGGAGTTGGGGGAAGGGAGGAGGTAACCTCTCAGGCTAGACAGCAGTACAGTAGCTGCTATAGGATCATATTAGTAACAGCTGCACTGGTGGTCTCCTTCTGAGTCGTCTTTTTGGCTAATGGATATGCATAGTTGCAAGCTACACCTTTCCTGTGCGGAGTATTGAAGGTATTGCAAAACACTTTGCTTTGGGTTTTGAAGGCCAGTTCCATCCTTGCTTGTAACTACAGTAGAACCTCACAGTTACAAACACCATGGGAATGGCGGTTGTTCGTAACTCTGAAATGTTCGTCACTCTGAACTTAATATTATGGTTGTTCTTTCAAAAGTTCACAGCTCAACATTGACTTAATGCAGCTTTGAAACTTCACTATGCAGAAGAAAAATGCTGCTTTCCCTTTATTTTCTTTTTTAGTAGTTTACATTTAACACAGTACTGTATTTGCTTTTTTTTGTTCTGTTTTGTTTTTGTCTCTGCTGCTGCCTGATTGTGAACTTCCGGTTCCAAATGAGGTTTGTGGTTGACTGACTGGTCAGTTCATAACTCTGGTATTTGTAATTCTGAGGTTCTAATATACTCATGAAGTTGAATGGGCAGAACTGGGGACAGAATTTGGCCACTTGGTGAGCAAACCCAGCTGTAACCTAAATGTGAGGATTTTTGATCCAGGGATGGAATTTCAGCCATAACTTTGATATTTTTTTCTTGCTTTTTGTGGATTTGTCAGATTCTTAAATACCTAACTTGGAACATTAGAAAGACAGTGTGACAGCACAACCTCTCATCTGAAGATAAAGGGAAGGTGAAAATGGGTGAGAAGGGACACGGTTTCATTTGGATAGTTAAGGTTTAAGCTAAACAGATGCTACTGGGGTCAAAGGTCTGCAATGTGCAAGCTCTGCAGGAAAGAGGCTGCAGCACTCAAATCCTGGAGGCTTAAGTGCTTAATGATTTTGAGTGCATTAACACTGGGTTTTTTTCTTTTTGAGAGTTCTGGATAACTGGGGTGGGAATAATCTGGGTTCCAGAGGTTTTGTGTTGAATGTAGTTGTATAAAAGTACAGCCTTGTTTCCGTGAACATAGTTGGAATCAAACAGCAGGAGGCAGTTTCTTTAGTCAGTTTCAAGCCTCTTTCAAGGCAGCACTTTACCCAAAAGCTCTCTTAGCTTTTCTGAGGGTCACGCTACCAGTGGCTTCCTTGCTGCCTTCTCTGTGTGCTTCTGTAGTGGTTCCCTTACTTCTCTCTCACAGACAAAGCTGCAATCAAATCAGTCCCCCACCCCAGCACTAGTTATCAGACTCCTGGGAAACCCCTTGGACTACATGGTTCAGCCACTGCCCACATGCGGTCTGATCCTCGGGCAGTGGTTTTCCATTGTTTCAACTATTGCTAAACAAAGTGGCATGTAATAGCTGCCTTGCATTCAGGCTAAATGATGGAACTATCATGCCCAACAGCTTCAGTGAGGCGGTGTGATTGCTCAACCCTCAGCATAATAAGACTATAAAATCTTAAATAGAAGAATTAGAATTTTTAGACAAAACTTTAAAACTTTCCCTTTTACCCAAAACCTAGACTCTATAGGCTTCATGTACATGTTATTTTGTCTCCTGGTATGTTTTTAGTATCTAGTTCAGTTTTACTATAATATTATGTTAGAAGTGTGTCTAAAAGAAAAATGCATTAGAAATTTAAAAAATAGTCTGAGAAAAGCCTAGATAGAAGGTTGAATCTGTTTCATTAAGCTGAAATGCACACTTGATCTGCTCAGGCATTCAGAGGTATACAAACTGTTGTCACGGTACAAGATGTTAAGTTTGTTTAAAAAGAAGCTGTTGGTAGCTGGTTGGCACACTGCCTGAAGAAGAGAGTGATTTGTTCTTGCACCAAAATTCATGCACAGACTTTTTCAGGCTTTCATCCTGCAAACTTAAGTTGACTTTATACACTCACGAATTTGCGTGTCATCCTTGCGCAGGGGCCATGCTATTCTTCTCTGTATCGTTCCAATTTTTTAGTATACACTCACATTGCTAAGTTTTTTTTTTTTTTTGTGCCACTTCATGAGATGGGCCTTTCAAATTATTCAATGAGCTAATCTGCATATTCACAAATGTGCTTTTAGCCATAAACATCACTTAAAAAAATTCCTGTACATATATTGCTGCAGAAAGGTGTTAGATTAACAGCACTACTGGTGAATGAAGTCCTCTTTATCAACAGCACAGCAGCAGGGTAAGCTTTCCCACAGACCCTGACCTGTCAACATGCTTTAACCTCCTGGGAGAGCTCATTCAAATAACTTAATGTGCTAACTTGTATATTTTCAAATAACTTGCATATAAGCATAAATTTAAGCTCATGGTCAACATGCCTTACCTTGAGCAGTGGTTGTGATAGGTCATGGAGCTGCCCAAAACTTGGTAGGAGAGTGTTTGAGGGTGGCTGGAAGGGTAGTTGGGTAGGTGGGAACTAGGTGAACTAGGGTTTACCTTTTCAAAATGCAAAAATGGGACACATGCAGGAGCGCCACTCTTCTCTGTGGCCCTGCCCCCTGCTCATCCTCTTCCCCCTGAGGATCCGCCCCCTGGCCAGGCCAAAAGCTGGAGCTGTGCAGTGTTAAGAGCTACCCAGGGAGCCCAGGCTGCTGTGGGGAGCCCTGGACCCTCCACCTGCCCTGGGCAGAGGGCCCAAGAGCAGTCCCTGGCCCATATCCCCACCCCCTGGGGCATGCTGCCCACGGCAGGTGGGAGAGTCTGGTACTCCAGGGCTCCCCACAGCAGCCTGGGCTCCCTGGGCCTCAGGCAGGTGCAGCGTGGTGCTGCAGGGACTCTGGGACAAATGCTGTCCTGGAGTTATTCAGCCTGGGACTGGGACTTGAACCTGCATTTCAGGACTGCCCTGCCCAATGAGGGACGGGGGTCACCCTAGTGGGAGCTGGTGCTGTTGGCACTACTGAAAGCGTAAGTGGAGGCAGAAGTGCAGGTGGGTATTGGGGCTCATGGGTGCAGGGAACTCCTGGAGGGGTAGAGCGTGCTGGGGCTGCTTGTGGGTTAGAGGGTGCTGCAGCTCCTGAGTGGCAATAGGGCTGTCTGGGTAGCGGGGGGTGTATTGGAGTGAGTCTGGTGCAGGGGGAAGGAGGCAATGAGCCTGGGACACCTCACACCCTGGGGTGGGTGTGCTATCCCTTAGTACTGTATTTAAGTAGAAAGCCACAAGTTCTCAAGTCTTTCACAATACGGGCCCATTATTGCAAATCACAATCAAATACAAACCCCTCCGGGTTTCCCATGACATTGCTGAACAGTAGGGTATTATTTAGAAGCATGCTGTACGTTTTAATTACAGCTGTTACTTCAGATGAATGTGTTCAAATGTGAAACACTAAATTTAAGGCACCAAAATTAAAGTTAGGGAAAAGCCAGTTGGCTCATTCAGTCCATCCCTTAAGGGCTAGAGTTACTAGGGGATTTAAGTGCTACGGCCTGTATGTTGGATCTAGTTCTCAGCTGACTTGTGAAAGTCAGCATGTAGGTGTTGGGAGAGCCATTAATGGAGTGGGATTGTCCATGTTTTCATGAGGTGAGGCAAGGCAAAATGTCCAGATTGTTTGAGCACCTTCCACCCTACAGCTGGGGCTACAAAAAACTGCTCCGAGGCAATCACCTGAGCAGGTTTAATTGACAGGGTGATTAAAAATCTGAACCATCACAGCTGAGTGTGCCAGATTCAGGACAAACAACTGAGAAATAGGGCAGACTCACCACAAACTGGTGGTTATTCTAGCATTAGATGACCCCAAGCTAGTAACAACAGTAAACTTCTATCTCACCACACTGGTTAACAAGAAGTCCAAAAATGCAGTCTCCTTAAGCATTCCAGCCCTTATTTCATCGCCCAGACACTAGACTTTATGATGAATGGTTATTGAAAACCAATTTAATCAAACAAAGTGCTCTTCTGATCTCAAGAGATCAGCCACATAGCCAGGTGAATATATAACTCAGATCTTACCCAATAATCACGCTGATGCCAATCCTTTAGTAACTAAAAAATCTAAAGGTTTATTAATAAAGAAAAGAAGAGTTAAAATGGTTAATTGCTGCTATTGTATGTGTATGATGTATGTTCTTATATCAGGTTCGTGCAGTGATGTTATAGACTGCTGGCTTGTAAAGTCTCTGGTAATTTCCAAAAGATTGGAAGCCCCTCATTCCATAGTCCAGTATGCTCCTTTTAGTTGTAAATCCACAAGTCCAGAGACTCAGAGCAGGAAAGAGGCAACATGGAAATGTTTCAAGGGTCTTTTATATCCTCTGCCATGTGCTTGGGATTTTAGTGTCACAAACAAAGCTTAGGGCTTGTCTACGTTACCCGCAGGATCGACGGGCAGTGATAAATCGACCGCCGAGTGCTCTCCCGTCGACTCCGGTACTCCACCGGAGCGAGAGGCGCAGGCAGAGTCGATGGGGGAGCGTCAGCTGTCGACTCACCACAGTGAAGACACTGTGGTGAGTAGATCTAAGTACGTCGACTTCAGCTACGTTATTCATGTAGACCAGGCCTTATAAACCCTGTCTGTGTAAAGTTACTGGCACAAGATGGAGTCCAAGGTCACATGAACGTATCACATGTCCTTACATGGTTTGCTGACTCACAGGGGCAGCCATTGGCCCTATCTGTGCTAAGGCCTCCACAGGAAGGACTCCATTTCTTCTATGGCCCATTGTGAGAGTTAAGTGTCTTTAATGGGCTATCAACACACAGCTGTCTGGCTTCAATGTAGATTTTTATCTGGTGGGTGTTACAAACACATTTGGGATACTGATTTATAGCCAATATTCATAACTTCAGATACAGAGATGATACATGGATTTAAACAGGACGATCTTATTTAGAAAATCATAAATTTTCCGTTGACACCTTACATGATATATTTTGTACAAGATTTGTTGCAATTGTCTAAGAGTGGCAATATTAATGATATTCATTGTCATATTTCAATCCTACAGCATCACATCCTCTTCCCCCTGCATACATATTTATACCAGTTGTAGCTAAAATTCCCCAACCTGCACACTTCCTGCAACTACAAATCTGTGCCAGCACAATGCTCCGCCACCCTTTTTGAGAACAGTTTTTTTGTTTGTTAGTGTGAATGTAGACATGTGGCTCCAATCCATTCCTTCTGGGAGAACTGAGGCATTAAGAATTAAGCCCTGATCCAAAGCACATTTAAATCAAAGGGAGTCTCTCTATTGGCTCTAATGGATATTAGGTCAGGCCTTTCTCCTCTGTCCTGAAGGCTCTTATACAGGGTTCCCCCAGGATTCCATCTTGCCATCCTTCGTGTTCAGTGTTTATAGGGAAGTCCATGAGGAAGTATAGACATACTGTGACTTCAGCAGGGTGCTGATACCCGTCCTTACATTACCATCTCTTCCTTTCTGCTAGTGTGGTGGAATCACTTGCCTGTATCTAATGGAGATTTTGGGTATAGATGAAGGCTAGCTGGATGAAACTCAACCCAGACAGGAATGAGAGCACTCAGAGTGAGTGAAATACCGTGCTGGGAGGGCGGGGGAAAGGTAGAAACCATATGTGCATCCTGGAGTGAGGGGGGTGGGTTTGCCTCCCATTTGTTGCAGAAGTTATTGGATTCCTGACTGCTTCTGAATACCTGGGCAGTGACAGTTATCAAAAGTGTTTTCTGCAAAAATAACAGGAGTACTTGTGGCACCTTAGAGACTAACAAATTTATTAGAGCATAAGCTTTCGTGGGCTACAACCCACTTCTTCGGATGCAGAAAAGTGTTTTCTGTTTCCTTTCAGGTAAGCCGTGGCCATTGATTGGGTTACTACAATGCCCCACAGGCTAAGCCTTCAAGAGAGTCAGAAATTGTACCTCGTGGAAAATGTCTTGGCCTCCGTTCAGAGACCTGTATTTCATGATTTGCCTTGGGTACCAGCTGATGACTGGATCCTGGCTATATGAAGTACTCAGCTCTTACAGTCCACAGGCTTCAATGCAAGTCGGCTAGCAGCAGTGTTTTACACTGAGGGCCTTTACTCAAAATTATCTGCCTCACTCTCCCATTAGTCTGCCAGATCCCACGTATGGTGACTTTCAGGGTATGCTGCCGGACTTCTCTCCTCCCAGGCTTTACATGAGGCGGTGGGTTGACTGAGGAAAGAGATGGATTGTGGGGTGGAGTTCATAAGCTAGCGGTCTTGAGGATTTTCATGGTCATTTTCTGTTTATTCTTAAGCATTAGTGATTTTACATACAGTGTTGAGGAAAAAATTAAATGAAATAATAGTACCAAATTGTGTAAAGTATACTTTATAAGTGTCTAGTTTCGGTTTTAGGTAACAACTGCAGCATAGTATAAGGTTACCATCTGTCCCTTCATAAGTAGAACACTATTAGTTAATGTGTTCTGAAACTGCTTGGTGAAAATTAATGTATATATTTTTATAAAAAAAATTTGCCCTTGTTTTTGTTTTCCAGAAAAATTAAGTGATCTTAGATATGTGTCAAAAATATGGTTATAGTTTCATTTTTAAAAATCTAAAAGCATATAATTGGCAGAATTAATTCAAGCTGATTAGTGTGTTGGCCCACTCTCCATGACTCAGGATTGCTAAAACTAGGAATAGTTTCAGGGATGAGAAGAGGAGGCATTAATTAGTTTGAGAAGCTGTTTTCACTGTGCTCGTTCTACTATCTCCAAATATAGAGCTTGCTACTCTACCTCCACCATCTACTTCCTTCCCCTCAAAAAAGGAAAAATTACCTTTTCTTTTTTAAATAGTCAGTATGTCAGTAACCTTGTAGTCTGGCTATCTTTGTTAATCTGACATGAACAAGTATTCTCCCTGAGAGAGAGTGTATTAATTAACTTGTCCAAGTTCAAGACTGTTTAATTTCTAGGTAGGGTAGAATCATGTTAGCAGTTGCACGTGTTAATAGGAGCCATCAGGTGAACAATGCAGTCCTTCTCCAATCTCAGTTTTATAATATATGTGCATACATTGTGTTATGAAAAAAATGGTTGAAAACTGAGTATTACAAGATAAAATACTGCCCCTCTCCTTTAAAAGAGTAACTCTGTACTGCACAATGTTTTATTGTTAAAATAAGCTCGGCACCATTGTACACAATAAGAGCTGGATTCAAAACACTTCATGCTTTACCAGCTTAAGGTCTGTAAATCTTCATGCACATCTTTCACACTAGATAAATATCAGCACATAATTTTAGGACCCAGCTATATTGAAATCAGTTCTGAAATTGTAATGAGGGATGTGACTGTGAACATGGGATCAGTGCCTCTTGCATACAGTGATCATAGTGTCACCACCACACTAGGGAGAAATTAAATAACTGAAATCAGGAATAGGATAAACTGTGTATGGTGTTGGGGTTCTAGCGTGGTGACTTGCATATGACACAATACTGCCAAACTAATCATTGGCATATAATCAAATAACTTTTCAATTTTAGTTACTTGCTATAGGTTAATATTTAAATCCCCTCTTTAACTGATTCTGCAGAATTTGATTATATTCTAAACTATTGAGCAGGACTGTAGTTATATCAAGGTTCATGCTGCCAAGGATTTTCAGTAACAGTCTTAATCTTAATGTTTTTTCTGTAGCTTAATCTCTAATATTTGAGAACTAGAACTGGTCATTTCAGGACATGAAACTTGCTTAAAGATTAGATGCTTTTATCTTCCTTTTGTGGAAATGTAGGTTAGTGTTTCATGTTGCCAAGTTGAAAGTGGCACTGTCAATTTTAAAATCTACTCCATTTCAAAAAAATTAATGAAGTGTACTTGCAGGTGTTGCTTCTGTCTTGGAGTTCCAATGCCAGTTTTTGTAACTTTACCATCACACTTTCCAATTCTAAATAATATTTTTTTCCCTCCGTGTTATGTAAAAAAAAAAAAAAAAATCCACAAGAGTAAGTTAACCCAGTAAACTAGCTGAACACAAATTGCAGTCAAATACACACGGTAAAACAGTGATCTCAAACTCAAATCACCACGAGGGCCACATGAGGACTAGTACATTGGCCCGAGGGCTGCATCATTGAAACCTTTTCATACAACAATACAAAAGTATAGTCAAAAATGAAAAAAAGAAGAGTAATATAGTATGCTATTAAAAGTCAATGTATTAGCTTTTTTAAAACTGTAATGCGAAGAGGGGTTTTAATAAAATATAAACACCTGTAACTATTCCTTATGTGGTTAGTAACGATGATGATCTACACTAACAGTCTATCAACATAGCTGTAATGGCAGGAACTCTTTAAAGTAACTATTCATACAAAATACGCTGCCACTTTTAACAAACATTCTTCCCAAGTACTCACAGCAAAGAATCATACCTGCTGAACTTCATACCTCAGACTGCTTGTCTAGTCCATTAGGCCCTGCCCCTGCCCCGCCTCTTATTATATTATATTCTTAATATGCTGGACTAGCCATCTCACTTGCACTCCACGGACTCCCAGTGCATTTTCCTCCTTTTTCTGTTTGCCACTTCCCTTTGACACCGCTGCTGTTCCTGTCTCCCCTCGTTCCAGACTCAGTCCCTTCACATACTGTCTGTCTGCTTGCCCATATAAATTGCTCACTCTGCTTGGGGTTTTTCAACTCCCGGTAACTTGTAGGTTCTCTTCAGACCTGATTCTTCGGTTCCCTTAAGAAATTACTTGAACTGTATTTTTTGAAAACTTTGACTGAAGTATGCATGTGTGCAGGCTCATGATCTGTCTCACCAGCATTCCAACCGTTCCATTTTTCAGGATGTGTTTAGTTGTTCTTTTATGTCTCACATGCACCTAATTTAGATTATTGAGAACCCTGACTCATTTTGCACACGTGTAAAGAGAGAAACATCAATATTTCTGTTCCGTTGAGAAAACTAGGCTCCATGACTGCCTGTCTGTCACTGTGGAGAGTTCCATGCCTAAGAGTTTCATAGGCTGCAGGTTTTCAAAGTGACCCACTAATATGAATTCAGCACCTATCAAAAAGGCACGGATCCAGTTCTGATGTAGTACCTCCTGAGAGCATTCGTGTTGAAGAACTGACTGTTGTTGGGAACAACCATAGTCTATTTAAAGGGCCGCCTCACTGGATGTGTAATGTTAGTAAAAAATATGGCTTTGACTTCTGTGCAAACAGAATTCTCTTGCTGGGATTATAGTTTAGTGTTCTTCCTGGTTAGAAGGGATGCAGAAGAGATTTTGGGGGTAATTAAACAGGTGTGTTTTCCCACTATCCTCCCCATTGGCCAACTGGATCTATAGTTCAGGTAGAGGGAATGAGGCCCTGGTACTCAGTGTTTTGTTTTTTAAGTCGTCCTTGTGCCCTAAAATGATCCAGAATGTGCAATCTTCTGTCACTAATCAGAGAAAAGACCCCTTCCACAGAAGGGGGACTATATGGATTATTTGGTAAAGATTAAAATACTTGGTGGTCTTCTCTTGTCTGCAGCAGTGTTTGGAATTCACTTCAAGGTAGGGCTAGAATACCTGTCTGGGTTAGAGGCTTACATGTGGCAGGGGAATAAAAATGCAATACAAGTGGTTATAATCTGCAAAGGGAGATCTCTTTGCCTATTGGTCTGCTGTGCTACTGGGAGCTGCAGAAAACACTTCACTTGAAAAGATTTCTACAGGCACGTGGTGGTATGTGGAAGGTTTTTTTTGTTTGCTGAATCAGCTAAGGGTATGCATCCCAGGTAGTTTTGTCTCATGTATCATGTGATTAAAAAGGTAGTTCCTGGCAGCTCTAGCACAGCTCTAAAACAAAAACAATGAACTAGAGAAGTGAAGAGTTCACGTATAAACCTCATTTAACCTTAATGAGAGGCCAAAGTTCTGCAGTACTGCTTTAAAGAGCAACTTTTCTACAGTAGCACTCTCCTTTAAGTGTTGTGCTGTAGATTGACCGACAGGGATTGAGCTAAAAAATTGCAGTGCTCTCCTTCTTATCTCACTAGTTTAAAGAAATCTGTCTGATCTGACTTGAGCTACTGCTAGTCCTTGAAATCATACACCACATGATCCATTTTAAGTTATTCATAGGCATCTTTATCAAGTGCCAGCTCCTCATTGTGTGGGTTTTTGCTTGGCTTTTATTTTAACTGTGATAGGTGGCAAATGTATGCATAGTCATTCAGCGCAGCATGGAAATACTGCTGGCATTGATTTCTCTTAAATATTTCTTTTACTGCAGACCAACGAGTGGAATAAGAATGACGACCGGCTGCTGCAAGCTGTGGAGAATGGAGATCCAGAGAAAGTGGCTTCGCTGCTGGGCAAAAAGGGAGCCAGTGCCACCAAACAGGATAGTGAGGGCAAAACTGCGTAAGTCTGTCTACTTTTTAAAACTTTTTTTCAATGTCTTCAAGGGATGAGGAAGACAGAGACCGTTTCATTTGCAAATTGGCCTTGGTAGCCGCAACTACAAAACAAATAAGGATCAGCTTGAAAATAGTCCCTGGTCCCTTTCGTCCTAAAGCATTACATGTTAAACAATTGTTTTTCTGTTCCAGAGCTGTATTTACAGTTTGTACTTAAAATGTCTATTCAGAATTTCAGGCCATTTGGTGACATGGGTCTAGATTGCTGGGCTGATTGGCACATTGGAATGTCCAGATTCCACGGTGCAAGCTCCAAACAAGCAGAATCATATTTCATTAAACCTTTGGGGCTACTTTCCCCCATGCAGGTTTGGTTTAGTTACACTGCCAAACTGAAATGGTAGTTGCTTTAATGGTTGGCTTTGAATTGATAATATTGCAACAGGGGTTTAAACCTTACAGAACCTAAAGCACTGGGCTTCCCATTGTGGTTGGCATTGAGAACGGTGCCTGTGCAGAAGAGCTCTTCATCCCATTTGCAGTTTCAGTAGAAAAGTGAATGTAGTAGCCTCACTGCTTGCTGACTGTACCTTGATTCATCCACCTTATTACCCCCCCCCCCCATTGGGGATATTGCAGACTGTATGTGTTATGCGCTATCCAATATCAAAATACTAACATCCCCCTATACTCTGTATGTTACCCCCGATGACTAATAACTGAAGTTTCAACACTCTGTATCATCTATTTTTAAACATTTTCTAATAAAATTTTAAATTTATTCCCCTCTCCCCCACCCCTTTTTCCTTTTTCTCCTCTTGTGAAAACTTCCTAATTTGCTAACAGGAGCACAGGGGATTACAATCACAGGGAACCCTGTCCCTCCAACCCTTCCATTTGATATCATATAGAAAACTGATTTCATGAATAAATGAGGAAATAGCTCACTGCTTGGCATCCCATGAGAAAAAAGGCTTTTAAAGATTGCAGGTGGGGGTGGGGGGGGGGAATCATCCTGTCTTGGGAGAGACAGCACAAAACCGTTTCTACCAAGTTCTACAGTACTACCCTAGGCTGTATTTATGGAGTCATGCTGTGCTTCCCACTTGGTCTGTTTCAGTTTGCTGCATCTATTCTATTTCTGTTCTGCATATGAGGAAATTAAATGATGGCAATGACTCATGATGACTTGAGACTTTCTTACCATCGAAGTCTGTGTGTTCCAGTTTCTTCAAGTGGGCATTTTCCGCATTTTAATATGGGTTTTACTTGAACTTCCATGCACATTTTTCTTTTGAAACAAATAATTTGAGATAATTCAAAAGATACAACTGAAGTACTTCAACAGGTATTTTCATTAGATATGTCTAATGTCCTATTTTTTTACCCAATTGTAAATTAAATAAAACTACATTTTTAGAGCCAGTTTCCTTTTTAGAATCAACTCCACTGTATCCAGTATAACCTCTCTTCTACTCAGGGAGTCAAACCGGTATTTATTTTGGTATTGTTCGGGTTCAGTTGCATTCAGTGTGTTCGGGTTCAGTTCCAGTTCAAGCCACCAAAACAACAACAACAAAAACCAGTTCGGTTACCACTTTGAACTGGTTCAAATCAAATTTCAATCTCAGTGGATGTAATCTCAAAAAAGAGAGCTGAAACTTAACATTGAAACTCATTTGATTTTTGATAGGTTTTTTTTTTTAAACTTTGCACGAGTATTTTCCTAGTGTTTCTGTGTTGTCAAATAAACACAGTTATTTTTATGAACAATTTGTTTTAGCAAACTAAAATAACATCTTCTAATATTTGCTGTGTTATACTGGACCTCTGTGGAGCAAGGATACATTTGAGTTTGGGGCAACTGGAGGGAGGAGCTGCCCCAGGGATTGGGGATGGTGAGAGGAGGCCTGTCTAAGAGGGAGAAGGGTTGGGGAGTCATTACCTTTTTCCCTTGGGCTTGAAGAGTTATTAACTTCTTGGCCCAGGGATCATTCCACCTCTTCTCTCCCTGGGGGCTGGTGGGAACGGGTGTGCCTCAGATATTGTTCATCTATTTCCTGGGCCTCATGGTAGATGGCAGCTCCTTGAGGTTTCCCTCTCCCTCCCTACTCTTGTGGGTTGCCCACCTTCTAGTCTCATTCTCTTCTCATTATACAGAGACAGGCCTTCCTGGTAGCAATCACATGCCCATTTGTTACTTTATAATGAAAATAAGATCACTGTAGTTTATTTAAAAAAAATTGAAGCTTAAAAATTGCTGAACCTTTTGTTTTAAGTGGTAACCCAATTTTTTTTCGGTTCAGGTTCAGTAGATAGAACAAAGTTATGGTTCAGGTTTAGTTCTGGTTCAAATAAAATACCATCTCGATCCGGTTCTGGTTCTGGTTCAACTGCCTGATTCTACTGAGGGTTTTTGTAGATTTCAAATGCAATATGATAGTATGAATTGGGTTCTGACAGTTTTCTTCCCCAGCCCTGGAGGGATACTCTGCAAGCTGTCACGTTTAGTAACCAGGAAGACATTTGCTATCCTACACTAACACTGAAACAGCTATGTGATCTTAAATGAATGGAACAAACCTAGACTGGTGATTTAAAGATCTGTGTTCTCACTAGTTCAGTGTGCTCACTTACCGAGCCCTTGATTTAAAATACTCGTTCAGTCGTGTCAGTGAAAATGAGTGTGTCGGAACAAAGGCAAGTCCAGTTATGCCTCGTGCAAGACCCTGCTTTCAATCCTCATTCCCCATTAAGTGTAGTGAGGAATTTAGCAGACACACTCAAGTTGTCTCAGTGCTGACCCAAGGGATAGCAGCTCTGACAAATGAAGAAACTGAGAGGCTGATCTGGAGAAGTGCACCATGTCATTAATAGTGTACCTTGGTGTGGCTTATTGTTCTTGGACTATGGCTCATTAGTTCGTGTTTTACGTAATTTTAAAACTGTTTTAAAAAGCCTTTTTAAAAATGTGGGATATATGCAATATAGTCTTTTAGCATGGAAAATATCTCGTAGTGGAATAAGTGAAAACATGAGGGAAAAGGGGGGAGGGTTGTTCTTTAATATTGTATTCAGTATGTGCATTTTTTCTGGCTTTCTTTTAAGATTTCTTTAAAGCCTGCTTTTTCACAGCCATCGTATTCAGTGCTTTACATTCTGTAAGGTTTACAGCCCGGTACATTTTCAACTCTAAGTAGACCCCAGAATCCTGGCTGCCCTTACAGCACTAGTTTGTGCCTCAGCAGCCATTTTTGACTTGCTCTGTCTGCAAAATTTAGCAGAGCGAGGAAGAAAATCTGGATTATTAGATAGGGCCCATTTTAGCTCACCCATTAGAAAGTGCATTAAAAGTGGGAGGAGACCTGAAATGGCTGTTGAAACAGCAGCTCTCCCCATTTTGGGGAAAGGGGCAGTTTAAAATTTTCTTTTCTGATCCTTCATGTCCCACATATCTACTAACTTTTCACCACCCCTTTAACTTAATGGAAATGAGGGTTTTATGTTCCTTAATGAGGATAAACTCTGCCAGGGTGTATCAGCAAAAAGGCCAACAGAGCCAGCTGGAATGTGTCTTTGGACAATAGGTGATCACAGCTATGCTCCAATTCCACGTTGTGCATTAGTTGCATTCTAGCAGCAGGTCTGAGAGATTCAGACTATTTGGATGCATCATTTATTGATTTATACTGATGTACTAAGTAGTTTACATAATTAGGCTGAAGGTGATGAATCAGAAGAACATAATGGATTAAATTATGTAACAAATTGCATGAGGGGATTAAACACTTCATTATGATGGCATGTGCTTTAGAGTGTAACATTATGAAGTATTCTGTTTTGCATTACAGATTTGGTTGGCCTAGTGCATTATTTTTTCCCCTTCAGATGTTCCTTTCTTCGCCCCAATCTCCTATTCCTGTTAAGATCTTTGTCTTTGTCCTTTTTTCATTAATGGCTCCCCGAGAACAGGAAAATAAATCATTCCACTTGATACTGATTAAATCTATATAGGAACACGACATTCAGTTTTGGACACTGTGTTTTTAAACAAATGAGAGAAAAGCAACTAATTACAAAAACTTTTTTTGAAAATGAGCTTTATTAAGAAATGTACCCATGCTCCATCCAGAGACATCACTGTCTACAAGTGTGAAGTGAGGCACTGGTAAAGAGGAAAGGAATCATTTATTCTCATTAGTCACAAGGGACAAAACAAAAATAACTTAATACTAAACCAGACAGAGTGGATATTGACTACTAGGATGTACATGTTGCCAAAGGGGTTGTACAGTCGCCAATTTAGGATGAAATGGAGAAGGGGATTAGATATTCCAGCTCTCGACTAAGTCACCACTTAATTGGGACCTTTTCCTGGTGAAATTTGGGTGAAGAGGGCCATGATGATGCCTCGGTACCACTTATTCCTGCCAAAACTCCCTTTGCAAGTTAGAGGAACTCTCCCAGCAATGTATTTTACAGTTTGAGGCTGATGCTTCAGGGCTTCAAGACATGCAGGATTTTCATTTCCTTTAAGACAGTCCTTTTGATAAACAAATGTATGTAAATGAGCTTCGTTGGGCAAATCCACCTTTTGGCATAGGCTCCTTTGCTCCTATTTATGCTAGATCAAACGTTTGGCAAACATGTTTGTAATTAAATGCTTACTCTATCAAGCACAGGGGTTCTCAAACTGGGGTTTGGGACCCCTCAGGGTTGTCATGAGGTTATTACCTGGGGGGTCGCAAGCTGTCAGCTTCCAACCCAAACCCCACTTTGTTTCCAGCATTTATAATGGTGCTAAATATATAAAAAAGTGATTTCAATTTATAAGGGGAGGGGGCGCACTCAGAGGCTTGCTATGTGAATGGGGTCACCAGTACAGAAGTTTGAGAACCACTGATCTAGCACCATCTCCAAAATGATTCATTATAGTCTTAATCTACTAGCTCTTGTTTCTGTGCAGCTTCCCAAAGCTAAATGTTTCT